TCGTCGAGTATCACGCGGTCCCAATGAATTCTGTACGTTGTTGATTTGGTCTTATATTCACGACTTAATATGTTGTATGTTGTAATGACTACGTCGTTTCTCGCTAATCTCTTCGGCACAGTTTCTCGGTTGGTACCATGATAAACCTCGATGGAAAGCAGACCTCGTTTGCACCTGTTGAGTATTTCATTTTCCCATTGCGATAACAGAGATGCTGGGCAAACTACGAGCGTACCCCCTTTATGTTTCAATGCTGTTTTATAATTTGTCCATTCTTCGTCGCTACTATCCTCCGTACTTTTGGATTTTTTCGCAGCAATGATCAAAGATATCATCGTTAAAGTTTTACCCAAACCCATATCATCTGCGAGAACCCCACCAGGGGGTCTCTGTTGTTCTCTCCACATTAACCAAGCCAACGCGTGTTGCTGATGAGGCATTAACTGTACTTTCAAGCCCTGTGGATCATCTGCTCTCTGTTCTTCGGTTGGTCTAGCTAGAAGAGACCCATGTAAATCTTGTATTCTATCGACTGTTAAAGCTAATTCCTTATTCAGCGTTGCTTGAGCTCTTGCCCCGAGTTCTTTCATTTCTAGCGATGTTTTCAGTTTTGTCGGTATGCTATTTATGTCATGTTCGGAATCTAAGTCACTGGTATACGTTAGCTTGTGAGTAATGAGGTCTTTTTTAACGAATTGTACATCTTTATCTTGTTGAGTTAAAGGCGTATTTTCCAATTCAATCGCGATCTCTTCTATTTCTTTTTCCTGTGCCATGATACTCTGGCGCAACCTTTCACCTTTGTCTGGTAGTAAATCAATATTACCAGTGTCTAACAGCAACTGAAAATACAAAATATACAGACTCTGAAAGAAGTCTTGAAGAATCTATTTTTTTCAACTTCTTTATTTGAACAAATTATTTTGAAGGAGAATAAGCACATCCATAGATGAATTTGAGTAAATTTACCTTCGTCTTGCTTAGCTGATTCTGCAAGTGTTCCATTTTACAAATAAGAAGAGCTCTTTTCTGTGCAACCATTGGGTCTATATTGCCAACACCAATTTCTTTTTTTGCTAGCGTCACTGCAATTTCTTCAGGTTCTGAACTATTTTTATTATCTGTGTTCAAATCTGTAAATCAATTCAATGTTGATTTAACGAATTGTTTATTCATATCTCTGTCTTGGAAAATCGGTATTAAAACACAAACTGGATGACTGCTTAGACTGTTGTACATTTCTTCCTTCACTGGGTGTATGCGTACTCGTGGATGATGTACTGCCATATTCATCTACTGTATTATTATTGTCAGATTCATCGTTCAGTGAGATATTACTAATTTCCATAGTATTTATACTGTTCATAGTGACATCAAGGGTTTTACTTTTCTTCTTTGTTTTCTTACTCTGTGCAGTGATAATTTTTTCGCTGCCATCTATAAAACAATACAATAAGAATATCGAATCCATGTCATTCACAATGTTATTATAATTCACTAAAATATATTACCACTTGAATTACTATAATCTGGATCATCCTCATTGCTATCACTGCATGATGCATCATTTTGGTCTTCATTGTCAGAATAATCAGGAATAAACTTCTTAATTCTATCCCCATTGGATGGTAAGGACCTAAACGTTAATGAAGAAAATTCTAAGAAAAAATAAACCTAAAACAAAGCTTAACGAATGATAGCCTTAAAAAGTTTACTTACGTTTCTGGGGTTATATTTCTAGAAATGTTATTGCTACTTCCACTGCTCTCGATCACAAGGAATTGCTCTTTTCCGACATTATCAATATCCTCGTCACTATCAGAAATGACAACGGAATTCCCATCCGCACGAGGCGAACCACGCAACCAATTATAACTTTCATCCATCCGAGCTACTGTCAATTTTAGTAATTTTACTTGATATCAAGGGACTGCAAAATTCCACATAGGATAATATAGAAAAAAATTATTAAACGTACTTATCGTTTATTCTAGATGCGAAGAAAGTTTAACCGAACTTTTCAAAACTGATAAATATGGCGCGAACATAAATCATGTAATTGGTTAGTTTAGCTTAGAGACCCTCCAATCAGAGTGATCACGAAATAACGTGAAGTCGGGTATTTTAATAAAATCACTAGGATTGTAAATCAGTGTTTCGATTCGTTTAAAATGAGTTCGTTTACAGCAGTGATGGGCAAAACCCAAGGGTTCGAATAAATCTGAAGTTTGCCAATATGTTTGTCTCGTTTCTTCTGTTGAACATTTTCCAAAGAAGGAAACGAGAGAAACACATCGGCAAACTTCAGATTTATTCGAAGTCTAGGGTTTTGCCCATCACTGGTTTACAGTCTCACACGTGTTATGTTACTATAAGGTGGTCCTAGTGAGTTTACTAAGTACTCTGTCAACAGGATGGAAGTTATTACACTCTTGATCCTTATTGCGCGCCCGAAACGAATCACCGTTCTGCTATCTAGGGACGATGGTGAACATTAAATTATTTCTAGGATAGATAGATCGCGGAATGCAACATCCTAAACAGTTGGTAACAGTGAATTACACTGCAGGTGAATTCCCTTCTTTACCATTCACTTCTTGATGCATTTCACTTTCATCTACCTCCTTTTCTTCGAAGATTTTCCTTCAACTCCCTTTATTTCCTGGTACCTTTCGCTTTAATTTCCCTTCATTTCTTTGTAAATTTCCCCGTCAACCATCTTACATTCCACCTTCCGCCTTCCACTTCCTCATTAACTATAGTCTCAGGTTCAACCTCAAGTTCAACCGTAATACGACTTACAACTTTCTTGTCCCATCGTAAGTGGCTGACAGCGCCAGGGCAACACCAAACATCTCCTAACACACCACGTGACACTTGCAGATACCTCCTCACAACTCCTGACACCTCCTAACATCTCCTAACACGTTCTACGATCTTCTAACATACCCACACACTTCCTAACACCAATTGATTTCCCTTAATTTCCCTTCATATCTTGACAAATTGTTCATTAATTTCCTGGCACCTTTCCCTTTAATTTTTCTACTTTCCTTGGCCACCACCTCGCTCATACATGTGATCCTCTTACTAGAGGTAAGTTTCGAATCAGAATTAAAAATTATGCTACCTCCGTACATATCACATTCTCCTGATATAAAGGTAAGTTTCGAAATACAACTAAAAGTTATGCCACCTCTTCGCATACCATGTTCTCCTGATACAAAAGGTAAGTTTTGAACTACAATTAAAAGTCATGGCACTTTTTCGCATATAATGTTCTCCTGATACACAATTTTGAGCGGAGTGATTTGCAACATTGTTGCACTTGCAATATTGTGGAATTTCCACGGGAATCGATTTGCAACATTGTTGAACTGGCAAATTTGTGGCATTCCCGCGGGAAACGATTTGCAACATTGTTGTAGTCTCGAGAGGAGCGATTTGCAACATTGTTGAACTGCAAATTTGTGTCATTCTCGCGGGGAGCGATTCGCAACATTGTTGAACTTGCAACATTGTGGAATTCCGCGGGAATCGAT